GTGGCAAACATGTTCAGTCCATAGTCTACTTTCGACATGCATCTCCCCTCCTGGGAGGATCCTCCAAACATCCTTTATTTGGTGCTCCCTTCTCTATCTGAACTGCCCTTTCCTCTAGGATACCCGGCTGGCCTCTAAGTTATGGAGTAATCCTCCTGGTGCTGATCTCAGCTATTCTTGGGTATTAATCTCATACTTTGCAACCTTACTCTTCTATGACTGTTAGTATTTATATGCATCATAACCTATTTAACCATTTCCCTTTTGGTGGAAGTAAGCTCTGTAGTTAGAATTTCACTTTGTTATGCATATATGCAATTCTACCTCTAGTTAAAACATCTTGAAGTAAGATTATTTTGTCAAGGAAATATGAATTTTTAATTTTGAAACTTGGATGAATGCCAGGCCAGAGAAGTGGTGTGACAGGTGCAACAGGTAGCTTGCCTTGCACACTACTGACCTGGGCTTGACCCCTAGCACCACATATACTCCCCTGAGCCCTGCCAGATGTGATCCCAGAGCACAGAGCCAAGAGTGGAGCCCAAGCACTGCTGGGTGTGGTCTCCAAATAAAACTGAACAAAGATATTAGTACCATATACTCCTCTCCATAAATGTTGTACCAATTATCATACACACAAGCAGTGGATGAGAGTGTCTTTTTCCCCCATACCTCCCAGTATAATTTTCAAACTTTCATCTTAGGGAATCTTATCAATGAAAATAATATGTTAATACAGTTTTGATTAAGTTTTTTTAAAATTTTGAGTATTCAGTGCCAGCTTTTCAAATATTTATAAACCACCTGAGTTTTCTATTGGTGAACTGTTTGATTTATTTTTCTATTGATTGTTTTTTATTCTCATTAATTTTAAAGAGTTATTATATGTTAGCAAAAGTAGCATTTTTGAAGCCATACCCTGCTCCTGGGTCTGCACAGAGGGATCACTCCTGGTGGGCTCAGAGAGTCATATGGGGTACAGGGAGACAAACCTGTGTACAAGAAACAATATCTGCCCTAGCCCTCAGAATTAATATTTTGTCTCTGCCCTAGCCCTCAGAATTAGTATTTTGTCTGTGGTGTGAGCCAACATAATTTTTCTGTTATTTTTTTTTGTTGCTTGATCAAATGGTTTATTTTCTAATTTTTTATTAATGAATCACCATGAGCTACAGTTACAGACTTACAAACTTTCGTGTTTGCATTTCAGTCATACAAAGGTCAAATACCCATCCCTCCACCAGTGCCCATTTTCTACCACCAATGGTCCCAGCATCCCTCCCATCACCCCCATCCCATCCTCTCCACCCTGCCCCGACTCTGTGGCAGGGTGTTCCATTTTTCTCTATCTCTCTCTCTCTCCTTTTGGGTGTTGTGGTTTGCAATAGAGGTACTGAGTGGCTATCATGTTTGATCTATAGTCTACTTTCAGCCCGCATCTCCCATCCTGAGTGGGCCCTCCTAGCACCCACATCCAAAAGAACAAAAGCAACTGATGTTGGGGGGGGATGTGGGAAGAAAGGGACTCTCCTTCACTGCTGGTGGGAATGCCGACTGGTTCAGCCCTTTTGGAAAACAGCATGAACGTTTCTCAAAAAATTAGAAATTGAGCTCCCATTTGACCTAGCAATACCATTTCTGGAAATATATCCCGGAGATGCAAAAAAGTATAATAGCAATGACATCTGCACTTATATGTTCATTGCAGTGCTGTTTACAACAGCCAGAATCTGAGAAAAACCCAAGTGCCTGAGAACAGATGACTGATTAAAGAAACTTTGGTACATCTATACAGTGGAATACTATGCAGCTTTTAGAAAAGATGAAGTCATGAAATTTGCATATAGGTGGATCAACATGGAAAGTATCATGTTAAGTGAAATGAGTCAGAAAGAGAGGGACAGGCATAGAAAGATTGCACTCATTGTGGAATATAAAGTAACAGAATGGGAGACTAACACACAAGAATAGTAGACATAAGTACCAGGAGGATTACTCCACAGTTTAGAAGCCAGCCTTGCCTGCTCAGAGAAAAGGCAGCTCAGATAGAGAAAGGACCACCAAGTAAAGGGTGCTTGATCAAATGTTTTAAAGATTATAAATCCACACTAAACTAAACTACAGTGAGTACGGTAAGAAGATAATATGCTACTAAAAGATAGTTTGATCCATGAAAGAGATGAGTATGTATATTTGAAAATACATGCACATATATGGAAGTAGCATAGGGCCAAAGGGAAATTTCAAATCTTCAGGGGGCAGGGGAAGTGAGATATTACTCAACAGCACTGTAGTATTGTCCTCCCATTGTTCATCGATTTGCTCAAGTGGGCCCAGTATCATCTCCATTGTGAGACTTGTTACTGTGTTTGGCATATTGAATACGTCACATCACAGGTAGCTTGCCAGGCTCTGCTGTGCGAGCGAGATACTCTCAATAGCTTGCTGGGCTCTCCAAGAGGGGTGGAGGAATTGAACCCAAACAGCGTTAATGTAAATAACTGGAGATTAGAAATATCTTACCCCTGGATCAATATTTTGTTCTTTACTTAAAATAGGGCTGGAGCAATAGCACAGAGGATAGGGTGTTTGCCTTGCACAAGGCCCACGTAGCCTACGTGAGTTCAATTCCTCTGCCCCTCTCGGAGAGCCCGGCAAGCTACTGAGAGTATCTTGCCCACACGCAAAGCCTGGCAAGCTACCTGTGGTGTATTCGATATGCCAAACACAGTAACAACAAGTCTCACAATGGAGACGTTACTGGGCCCACTCAAGCAAATGGATGAACAACGGGAGGACATTGCAGTGCTACTTAAAATAAACTGCAGATGTACCAAACATTTAAATGAAAGAAATGAAGCTACAAAAGACTTAGAAGAAAACATAGACATTTTACAAGACTAACAGTGTTAAAGATTTTAAATGCAAAGAATGAAATAAAATATAAACAAGCACTTGAAGAACAATGCTGATAAATTTGACATAAACATTTTAATTGCCCGCAGGAAAATGGCATTATTAACAAAATATAGTAGCATGCATTTATTTTTATAAACTCATTCATTTTGAAAAGTGCTGATAATTAAAGGGATTCAGATTTTATTATAAACAAACTGAATTCCATTAAAAATTGTGTCTCCTTCCCACTGAGACCCTCCATGCTTCCCTGCCCCCTAGTGTACCTCAACCTCCAGTCTCTCATATTCTTCACTCAATGCTCTGTGCATAAGAAAAGTACATCTACATATGTATAGTTTTTGTACCTATACTTATAATACATCTTAATAACGTATTTTTCATATATTTTTTCATACTGCATTCTACCAGTTGTTTCCTTTTCTTAAGTTGAGATAGGAAGCAATGGACATTCTCCTTCTCTGCCCATGTGGGCTGGTATGCCACAGGGTGCATATCCTGTTGTGAAGTTTATAGATAGGTCTGAATCTTGACAATTGCCCTCCACTGAGGTGGCTCCAGTTACACATCCAAATGGAGATTTTAATGGAAGCATCTACAGAAGTGATCCTGGAGTTTAAGGAAGTGGTCAGAAACTGGACGTATAATTTGGGAGGAAATAAGGATAGAAATGGTCCTTTAAAAGCCATGGGGCTTAATGAGAATACCGAGAGAGAGGTAAAAATAGAGAGAGATCCAGGAGAGAAGGCTTGAACACTCAGAAGCAGGGAAAAAAGGGGAAAACAGGATCAGAAATTGAGAAAAATGCAAAAATGTTTGACCCCCAGCACCTCATATGGCCCCCAAGTCCACCAGGAGTGATCTCTAAGTTCATCCAGGTGTGGTAAAAACAACAACAACAACAACAAAACAGAAATTGAGGAAATTTGAAAAAAAAACCAAGCAAACAAAAACAAAAGCATAAGAGCTCACAATACCATGGTAATTTGATCACCTAAGGATTTCAAGAAGAGCATCACGCATTCAAGTGTTGAGAGAGGCAGAGTGAGAAGGGACCTGGTCATTGGAGACTTATATTTAGAAGGAACAAAAGCCAAATTTCAGGGGTTAGAGAGAGAAAAGGAGATGGGAATGTGGAGAAAATTAAGCACAGAAAACACTAACCCAAAAGCTTGCTGTTAAGGGGCAGGAGATGGAGGAAAAGCTGGAGCCCATTAAGACCCCTCCTAAAGTGCAGTGTACTTAGAGCATGCTCACATACTGGTGGCATGGGAAGAGGGTGCACACAGACTTTGAGAGAATGGCTTGAGCTAGGAGTCAAAAGAGCTCACACATGCACTGTGAGAGGCAGGAGACAGCATGGAACTGGATATGCAGACTTGGGAACCTCTACTATGGGAACTTAGTAGAGGGACGAAAAGGAGATTCTTTTGTGAATGGTTCTATATTCTGAGAGAAATTAAAGGGAGCTTACCAGAAGAGATGGAAGCATGGCAAGAGGAAGGGGAGTTGGATGAAAGAGAGGGATGTGAGAAATAATAGACTGGAAAGCAGAAAGCATTGCTATAGAGAAACATAGCAGCATGTCTGGGCAGTGACAAGCTGGGACTTGTCACTCCCCAGCAGAATCAGTCAGTACAACTAACGGGAGGTCTTTTCCAAACAAGTCCATTGGTTGGGTGCAAGTACCAAGAAGTCTGCAAGATGGGGTTGTTCAAGGATGAGTTTTGTAAAGTAGGGATGAAAGAGGAGAGGGAAAGAATGGAGGATGACTGCCAGGAGGTAGTGAATGGGAGGGACAGGACAAGTGGAGAAGGAAGGACATGAGGTAGGTGAGAGGCACTTGCAAAGTTTGGATCCATGATCTGGAACACTGGGTGGGCAGAGAGATTGTATTGGAGTGTCCGGGATGAAGCTCCAAAAGAAGGAAACTGGAGTTATTATTATGCTAGATTCAGAGGAATGTCCTAGGAATGTCCGTCTTAGGATGGCAGGGTGCACGTGTGTGTGTGTGTGTATGGAGAGGGTGTCCTTCAGTGACACTTGGCTGACATCTGTCATTGACTCCCCCATCTGTGATGTAGAACTTGAAGAGTCTAAACGAAGGTGTCCACCTTGCTTGACCACACTGACTCAGAAATATCTGATCTGGGAGTGCAGCCCCACGTGGTTGAAGTTCAAGAAGATTCTCTTTGAGATTGTGACGGACCCCTTTATGGAGCTCACCATCACCTTTTGCATCGTGGTGAATACAGTCTTCATGGCGATGGAGCACCATGGCATGAGCGAGGAGTTTGAAACCATGCTCCAGACAGGCAACTATGTGAGTGCACTGGCCCAGTGGTAACTACAAGGCTCGGGGGTATAGCGGGCTCTCATTCAGTGGATTGTTGGTCTAGTAAACGGAGAGGAAAGAAGCAGAGGGGACACTGCACAGAAAGCCAAGTCTGCAGGACCTGCCTGAGACTGCAGCAAAGACAGGAAAGTGGATGGAATGAGTCCTGAGCCAGGAAAGCAGCTCCCCATTACAGAACTCAGGACTCAGGATCTCTGCTGCCTCTCTCATGAAATAAGGATAAGTGTCACTTTCCCATTCATCTAAGAACAATCTATAGTCTTACACATTCCTGCAGCTTATTGCTTTTGTACTCGCCAGAAGCAACGCTGGGGTTTTTCCAATGCTTTCATTTGAGAACAGAAAGAGGGGAGAGAGGTAGTGAGAAGGCTACTGAAATCTCCTTCACTGTTATAACAAAAGTACCAGAAAGATACAACTTTTGTTTCTGGTTTAGATATGATGCTACTTTAAGTTTCCTTTCATTACTTTTTTTTCTTTGTATTATTTGCTTTTAATAAGATGAAATCCAGACTGGATTTCCCTCTATACTGAGTAAGGAACCTGACTCAGAGGTAGAAAAACACTCCCCAGTTTGGAGACCCCCTTGTCCCTGGGAATAACAACAAAGAGTCAACTTTCCTTGGATGCTTTCTCATGACAAGATGTGATCTCAGATGCTTCTCATGAGTTGTCCTGTTTTACTTCCTCACAACAACCCTCTATGGTCTGTGTGACTATTTTCCCCTTTCACAATAAGGTGTGCAGGCACGGAATGGGAGTAATTTGCCAGGATCATTGAGGTGAGCTAGTAGCAGCAGCGGCAGAATTTCAACCCAGGCCGCAGAGCTCACACTTCTAACTTCCAGGGTTCACCCCTCTCCCAGGATCTGCTGTGTGTCTGAGTATGTATGCCCAAGTAAGGTGTAGTGTACAGACATGCATGTATGTGAAGAGGACCATGGGAGCATGGGAGACTGCAGCTCCTGCGGAAATGGACTGAAAACACCAGGAACAGAGTCGCAGTTTTTGAGACAAGAGAGTCTCCCGCTCCTCCTTTGCTCTGAGAATTGCCTAAATAAACTCCAGTTTCCATCTGCAGGTCTTCACTGGGTTTTTCACTGCTGAAATGGTCCTCAAAATCATTGCCTTTGATCCCTACTATTACTTCCAGAAGAAGTGGAACATCTTTGACTGCGTCATCGTCACTATAAGCCTGATGGAACTAGGCATGGCCAAAAAGGGAAGTCTGTCGGTGCTGCGAACTTTCCGCCTGGTAATGCTTTGATCTGAGGAAGCTCACTTCCCCTTTAGGTACACTAACCCCAGGAGACAGACTCGGGCCTGTGAGGACGCCACCAGCCAGCACCCTCCTCCTCTTCTGTCCCTATTGGAGGAAGGAAGGCAACGCCTGTCTCCTGGGAGCCTGGAGTCTTTCTTCTTTCCATTTGGAAAAATGCAGTCCTGGTCCATGCTGTGTTCACAGTACGGGCCAGGAAACAGTGCTGAGCTCCTGGCCTTGGTTTCCCTGGAGGTGATTGCAAATGAATGCAAATGCCTACAGGAACCAGGCAGTAGCGAAATTAAGCCAGCCAGGGAACGATTTGGTTCTGGATTTTTGGCCCATGTCAATAGTCAAGGATGACGCAATGCTGCTCAGGGAGCCTCATCTCTGAATACATCTCCAGGGAGGGGCAGGCACCAGACATCCTTCTGATGATGCCAAAGAGGTGGCACTGTCCCCATTATTTTTAGTTTCAAATTTTTATGAGAAACTAGAAATCCAGATTTATATGTAATCAATTTTTATATTCATTGCTAATCCTCCTTTAAAAAAAACCACACTAAAGAATAAATAAAGTATGTCCTATGGCCTCTTTGTGTTCTGGGCCATGGATTGATAACTTCTAATTGGTAATTAGAAGGACAAAGTGGGGTCTCGGAGATTCTTTGTCCTTTACCTGGGAGCTTGAGCTCAGAATATGTCACACATTTACGGCGACAGATTTCTGAAAGTATCTGGAAAATGGTGACAAGATACAGGTATCTAGGCAAGTGATTGGTCTCCATAAGACCCCTGGGCCTTTCACTGAGGGAACAAGATTCCACATTTGTTGTGCATGGGAGGAACCAGGGTTCATTTCCTAATAAAACAAGAACGTATTGATTCTTTTGAGAACAGAGAAATTTAGTGTTCTAAATCTACCTGCTCTTATTCCACAAGGCCTGTGGTATCAAATCACCAAAATAGGTAGGTTGGGTTCTTTTGCTTGTGTTTGGTTGGTTTTGGTGATGGTTGGTGCTAATGATGCTATAATTCTGGGGAGCCTCATCATCTGGAATTCCATGCCACAAAAGTCTCTAGGGATATAGCCCTGGCCCCAGTTCTTGACCCCCAATATTCTTTTTCCCCAACTTTAATTTTATTTCATTTTAGTGAAGTTGTTCACAATATTTTATTACATTTAATAATTAAACACCAATCCCACCACCATTACATCTTCCCACCACCATATTTTAAATGTTTCCATCCCAGACCCCAAACCCTGCCCCCAAAGAAAAACCAAAATAATTCATTTTGTATTGCTTGTTATGAATAATCCACAAAAATGATCCAAAAAAGTTTTCTTAGAGGAAAGTGTGTGAAGATTGTTGTATTTCTATAAGAGATTAAGGTAAAGGTAAGGTAAAGGCCCTCCCGTTGATCGTCGATTTGCTCGAGCGGGCCCAGTAACGTCTCCATTGGAGACTTTGTTGTTACTGTGTTTGGCATATCGAATACTCTCGGTAGCTTGCCGGGCTCTCCGAGAGGGGCGGAGGAATCGAACTCGGGTCGGCCACGTTGGCCGCTTGTAAGGCGAACGCCCTACCACTGTGCTATCGCTCCAGCCCTTAAGAGATTAAGCCCTTAAGAGATTAAGCCCTTCTATAAGAGATTAGAAACATGTTGTTAAAGGTTGACCCTTGTGTGAACATATAAATATACAAATATATGTAGATCTGTAAAAATGTATTTTCCCCTAAAATTATTTGCCCTCTACTTTAAACCCCATAAGATGTGGTGTGCTATTCTTGGTATATTAGTGGTGTAAAGTATAAGATGACTTGCTGTGGAGCAGGACATATCCCTGACCCCATTTCCCCTACCATTATCATCTTATATCCATCCAGGAATAGATTCCCTCATGGGTGAGGCTCGTCCGAGTGTGTGGACAGCAGCTGTGAGCATGGCGGGGTTGAGTTCTGGAGGTTTTCGGCTCCTGGGGCTGGCTCTGTTGGGACAGGGAGGGGAACTCACCTGTCCCCTTCCAGGTTTCTCCAGACAAAAACAACCTGGCACGGGGTCTGGAGGTATGGCTATGGCGTGTTGTTCTGTTCTCTCTTCCGAGAGATTTATTGTTGAGTCTCTGGATCATGGCCGTTGATGAGATTATATGGCGCCAGGAGCAGCTTGTGAGGGTGACTGCCAAGCTGCAGGAAACAGGCGGAGGTGAGGGGAGATGACCCATTCCTGGTTCTGTTGAGCCTGGAGTTTTCAGTCATAAGTCCCACATACCAGGGTTTTTTCTGTGGATTCACCCATGGGTGAGGCTCATCTGTGGAGGGTGGTCATGAGCATGGTGGTGGTTGAGTTCTCAGGGTTTTGGCTGATGACCCCCAATATTCTTTTCTACTCAAATTTCTCCTACTCCAAACTTCTTGAGACCTTTCCATTTTCCTTCCCCATCATTTCCATTCCCTCATGAACAAGCAGAGACTCCAGGCCCTTTCATGTTCTTATGTCCTCAAAACCAAATTCAGTGGTCTTGCCTTCTGTGCCTTCATATTCTTGTGTTTGGCAAAATCTGACCCCAGAATTGCAGCCAGATATTTCTCTCATTTTACTTGAACTGTGTACCTAACTGCAGAAAATTCACATTGTCCTGCTTGTCTGTTTTTCATTTCTAATAGGATACGTATTTTTTTAAAAAGCTAAAGATTTTTCAAAAGAATTGAGCAGATCGAAGATAATTTTTCCATATTCCCAAACCCAATTATACAAACACGTACATATATGTCTCTCCACCTCTATACTTTTTATTGTGATGCCACGGACCAAGCCTATGGCCTCACACATGCAAGACCTGAGTTCTACTATTGAACATATCCCTGACCCCATTTCTCTTACCATTATCATCTTATATTAGTACAGTAAATGCGTGTACAGTAAGTATTAATACAGTAAAAAGGTAGCACAAACCAAACCCATTTAACTGTATGATATTAATGTGTAGAGCGATGATGTTTTACCAGATTCTGTATGGTCAGAATATGCCTATCTTCCACTCTCCTCATCCCCACTTTGCTCCAGACAGTGGCCTCCTTTCTCTTCCTTCACATGGTAGTTCATTGCTCTGGTTTTTGCATATTTATCGTCTTGACCTGTAATGCTCTTTATTTTTCCTTGTCTTATTCCTTCTCATCTTTGCAGACCCCACACACACATCTCCTCCTTAGAGAGAGTTTTCCATCCTCATCAAATGAACTTGATTCTCAATCTTTGGAAAGATTCCCGATATTCATGAGACCAACCCAGAATTTCCTGGCTCATTATTCTTTTCCCAGAGCCTAGCATAAGATCTAGCACACAGCTGAAATTTGATAATTATCGTTAATGGAGAAAGGAAAGAAAGGAGGAAGAAGGGAAAGGAAGAAGCCATGGAAAGTCTCTCTCTTCCTTTGTACTTTTCTCAGTCTGAGTACCATCACTTTCTTTTCATCATTTGAAGACTTTCTCCACTGGTCTGTTGTCCGTTCCTATACCAACACCATTCTGTTTTAATTACTATGATTGCCTTAAGTATGTTTGTCTGTAAGGCAGACAACACTTGTTTAACTTCTTGGTCCTTGCCCTTACTTATTTATTTTAGGATATTTTCCAAGTTACATACACAGAAAACTTGAGGTGGGTTATTTTTTTGCCCTACCGGGATTACAATAGACTACAGATCAATTTGGAAAGAAACTTAACCAAATTTCAGTTTACATTATGGAGTCTTATTACCCTATAAAAATAATATAAATTAATTATAATAATTTGGGGGGATGTTTGAGGTTACACCCAGCAGTACTCAGGATGGCAGTGCTTGGTGTGGACTATTATATGTGGTGGTGGGGATGAAACCAGGGTAAACTGCATGCAAGACAAGTACCTTAACACCTGTAATATCTCCCTGGCTTCATTAATTTCAATCTTCCTATAATTTCTCCAACAAATTTTATCATTTTTTAATTTAATTTTTATTATTGAGACACCATGAGGTACAGTTGTAGACTTACAAATTTTTGTGCTTGGGTTTCAGTTACAGTGCAAGTCCCTCATGAAAAAAATGATTAAAAAAGTAGACTATAGACCAAATTTTATCATTTTTTTCATGAGGGACTTGCACCGTAACTTTTATTAGATTTATTCCTAGGTATTCCACATTTTATTATGTACTTCTAAGTGAAACCACTTCTTAACAAAATAGGGGCTACCCCTAATCACTCAGGGGCCATATGTGCTGGAAAACAAATTTAGGACCTCACACATGCTAAGCACGTATTCCACCATTTGAGATAAGTATCAGGCTCTACAATCTTTTGTTTTATTGTCCTTTTCTGACTTTTTTATTTGCTAACATTTTGCTATTTAATCATCTTATATCCAGAAATTTCTTTTATTTGTTCTATTGATTTATCTCTATAATTTTAAATTGCTTAACACAATTATACTATATGCAAATTAGTTTTATTTCTTTTTTAATCCTTTTCCTTTTGGTTCCTTTTATTATGTTATTGTCTTGATTAGGACATTCAGTGCATCGCTCAAAGAAAGTGCTAATAGCAGACAACCTTGCTATTTTCCTGATCTCAGAAAATGCTTTCAATAATTCAACAAGTCTCATATTTGTGGCAGGTTTTTTGTTTTTAAGATTAAAGAAAAGAACACCTTTATCAGTTTACAAAGTTTTCTTTTGTTAAGAATATTTTATCATGAAAGAACATTTAATTTCATTAGGTAATTCTCCCATATGCATTGAAAATAATACTATGATTTTTTTCTTAATCTGCTAAGTGGTGAATTATATTAATTTCTTTCTAATGTTAAATAAACAACTTGGCATTCCCAGAATAAACCCAGCTTGATCAGGATATATATTTTTTACATTTTAGAAAATTAATTTTATTACATCTCTGCATCCAAATTGAGTAGTATTTGACCTAAATTTTCCTCACTTGCTTTGTGCAAGTCAA